GTCAGATTCCAATACTTTGTGACACGAAGCGTATTGGCAAAATTGTTGGGGTGAATGGAATGCTTGGTTTGTGCGCTCGTTTGACACCAAAGTCACGTGACCATCCCGTTGTACACTCATGGTACACTCTTCGACTCGTTTGTGATGCCGAAGGTTTGAAGGTTTCAGTGCTTCCACAGCCTCATGTTGGAGGCTATCGCTATTAGTAATGGAGGCCATCGCTATTAGGTAGGAGGCCATCGCTAGTAGGGTGGAGGCCATTGCTATCAGGTTGGAGGCTATAGCGGCCATTGCTATTAGGTTGGAGGCCATCAGTAGTTTGAGTCAGAGCCTTGTGGCAGGAAGATCCCGACACGAGGAACACCCTCTCAAAGCTCTATGCCAGCTCCGGGCCGGCGACCGGTGGCTTGTTCCTTCCAACTGAGGGCATTAGTAGCCATGGTGTTTACCAACTGACGAACGACTGGCGAAGGTTTCCCTTGCCGAAGCCCGTGTCAGGGCCACCGAACTTCGACATCGGGTATGACAAGGATGTGATGAGGGTACGGTTGCAAAGCCTGGAAACTGCAAACTAGAAGCTACTAGGTGGAGGCCATCGCTATTGGGTTGGAGGCCATCGCTACTAGTAACAAAAAGGCATCTAGAAAGCTTTATTGTTACTAGTAGCGATGGCCTCCACCTAGTAGCTTCTAGTTACTAGAAGCTTCTGCAAAGGGTTTTGCATGGTTTGTATAGTTTCAGTATGTTTCACTCTTCCCCCTCCGAATCCCAAACAAGCATGGATGGAGCCAGCTAGCTCCATCTACAGATTGTCCGCCCTGCAGGTCACATTGCTCCGCAACAGCTGGATTGGGCCCCAAAGTGTGGCTCGTACGTTATCATTTTGATTTTTGGCCAAGAAGTCTTTGAATATCAAGAAGTAAGCCACTGAGTTTGCCTGAAGTGGAAAAGATGGAAAAGGAGGGAATATGAGAGGTAATGACGCTTTGGGTGTCTGGTACAAACAAACAGATTTTCTTCAACCTATGCCACCTTCAACCTATGAGCAAAGGTGGGATTCTTGTACGACTTGGGCTTCACCGTTGACTACAGCGCGGCCGGGAAGTTTTCGTCCTTTGCCCCAACTGGATCATTGTGCAGAGGTTGCAACGCGAGGCCCAGGCTGTACAGGCCTGAGACGCGCGTCCAGGACGGTCTTCCTTTAGCGGAGACGTTCTCTTTCTTTTTAAATGCTGCGCAGAGCATGGGAACACAAGTGCAAAGGGCCTGTACCATGTTTGTTTTTCCGGGTCACTGGGAAGGACTTTCAAAAGTATTGTAGGAAGACAGAGGAAGGAGCAAAGGAGGGGGAGACTGATGCACGCGCGGAGAATCATCCTCCAGACAAATGCAAGTTGCGGAATAGCAAGTCCTAAACAGTTGGACTTTTCCCATCCAGGAATCTCTGCACAAGTAAGCAACTCTGTGCACATGTGGATGTGTATATTCTTGTGAGTGAAGGTTTTGGATGGTTTTGGCCCATTGCATCATTCAATTTTTGCATGTTGAGTACCTTCAAGATTGCAATATGAATATCCTGCCATAGGATGTGCGCTACAAGCTGATGAAGCGGATGCACGCACCACATAATCCGGTTTGCCGCATAGAGGTGTATGATTGCCGTAAACTAGAAATCAAGGGCTCCAAAAGGCTCCAGTCAACTAGAAATAAGGTTTCTAGAAAGCTTTATTGTTAGTAGTGATGGCTTCCAACCTACTAGCGATGGCCTCCACCTAGTATCTTCTAGTTGCTAGAAGCTTTCTTTTGCAAGGATTTTACCCGAATTCGGAACCCAACTTCCAATGTCCGAACCGAACCGTTCCCATGGTTTCTGTTTCAGTTCCCATCTTCTGAACCGAACCGTTTCAAGTTCGCAGAGACTCCGCAAGAATACGCGCAAGATGTTGCAACAATTGTAGCCGAAGTGGCTCGACCCACATGGCAAACGGGCAAAACTGGAGATTGGTATTGAGCTTGTCAAACAGCAAGCAAACAGGATCGCGACTTGATGAAGCAGCACAAGTAGGGATTCCAAGTTGAAAGCGTTGAACATGAGACTACTGAAAAGCGGATGTGGATGTGTGGTATCCACGTGTTGTTAACCCTGACGGCAGAGAGGCTTAGACTCTCTGAACGATTCCGTAATGGTGGGTGGTCTTCTTTAATCTTCTTTGGCCGCCTTGCCATGCGCTTGGATACAAAGTACTCAGCTACCACTCAGGGTTGTCATTCGGCTGTGCACACGGGGACCGAAGGAACGTGTAGGGACTTCATTCCTTCGAACATCGGAGGTTTGCAACGGAGGCCATGGAGTGCACGGCTGATTCGGGAGGTTTGCTTGTTGCTGGTGGATGCATGTAATTCGAACAGTGAAAAGTGCAGGGTGTTGCCTTGGCCGTCTGTGAAGTTGTCGGTCTCGTTCTATCTCGAGTGTCGACCGCAGGACCGGGATGGGACGATCCGAGTGATCCCTGGACGTGGCTTCTCGACGCTAGGCGCCGGACTGCCACCGTTCGGGTCGTTCGCCGAAAAACGGGTCTCGCTCGGGTCGTGGAGCCTGTGAGATCCGAATCGGCCGGACTGATCCTGCATGATTGAGACTCTTGAAGTACGGCTCCTGGCATCGCTACGAACGGAGCAAGGACGCTACTAGGGGTTCCTGGCCTTACTACCAGGAACAAGAAGCTACTAGGGGCTCGTGGCGTCGCTACGAACGGAGCGTTCGGACGCACATACTCTGTCGCAAGAGAGTGAACACAGCGACTACTTCGCGACGAGCATTCGGTGTGGATTCTGACAGGTCTAGATGCCGAGCTCAAAGAGGACGCTGTTGGAGCTATCAATCCTGCAGAGACACCCTGTAATAGCAATCGAGACTGTGTGAGTGGCATTTGCGTGACCACGATACTGGGCTTCCTGCAGTCGAACGGTTATGACCTGGAGAGCCAAAGCGTGGATGGTTTCTCTCCAAAGGTCTGCAAACCCAAGTTCTACGACTTCAACATTGATCCCTGGCGGAGGGACCGAGGTTTTCCACTAACTAGTGCGGAGAACCGAGGTTGTCCGGAAGCTGCTTCACCTCGTGTTGACTTGAAGGAGATTATATAATCTCGTTGAACGCATGTCTTCTTTGTTTTGTTCTTCAAGGCTTCTTGTTTCCCCAAATCTGCTATGTGGTTGCTATGTTGGTTCTTGTTCTCAGTTGGTGGTTTCTTTTTCCAAGCCTAATAATCGCCGCCGGGACTGCTTCAGGTCTTGGAAGCGTTCAGTTTTTGTGTTTCTTTGTTTTTGGTTCTTTCGCATGGAGTAGCTGATTGTGCTGAGGCACTCTCTACTGAAACGGATGCCTTTCCCCAGTACAATTTCATCATAGAGGAGGCGAGACAGAAGTGGCAGAGCATCATTCGTGGCATTGCCAGGCCGCTGAGAGGCAACCGTGTACCTGGAGATCTGGAAATCAAGTTTGATTTCTTCAACGAGAACAGCAACACTTTAGGCCGGGACCAAGTTACACTTTTGGGGCGGCATACATGTCGCTGAACATCCTTCCAAAAAGGTAAGTCGCTTGGAAACACGGAGTCGGTACGTTTTTCTCACTATTGCCTTGGCGCTCACGAAGACCAGAAGCTTCTTTGCATGTATTTTACACTTAGTAGTTTACGATCGGATCCACTGAGAGTGAACTTGTCATTTTTTTCTCACGATGGGCACACACCATGATTTGCTCAGCAAGTGCTCCAACAGTTGATGGTGGCACATGCTGTGTATCAAACACACCTTTGATCTGTGTACAACGCATTCTTTATTTACCAAAACTGGTCTAGTCCATTTCTGTTCGTTTTGATGTTTGCTTTTCGGGATGTGGCTTGAGAGTGGTCTCGCGTTTGCATGCTCGGCTTGGACCACCTTTTTTGGACACTGTGGCCCTGCTCGGTTGGAACAGCTGCGCAGGATCTGCGGGGCCACAGGAGGTTGATTTCTATGACTCCATCGATGGCAGTTACTTTTTGACCCGTCGCGGTGGCATGAAGTTCAATGCCCGCTTTTTGGAGAATAATTTGATTGACTTGGACACGTTCAAAGCAGCTTGCTTGCACACGATGTAAGAATCTCAGGTTTCGATTGGTGCAAGTCTTTGTGAACTTATGGTGCATTCTCAATCTTCTCAGTCAGTGCTTCCGGTTCCGAGTTGCAAGAGTTGCCATGTTGCCAGCAGGTTGGTTGTTGCTTTGGTCCTTTGGTTGTTTTCCGCAGAAGAACCATCCTTGCTAGCAGGAAAAGTTCTGGATTAAAGTAGGCTACGTTGTTTCTGGCTTCAGGCAGTGGTTTTGCATGAGATGGGGCACATCTTGCTGATTGGTTTGTGGGACCTTTTGACCACTTTTGCTGAATGCCAAGTGGAATCGAAGTTTACAGACGCTTACTTGGATGGTGCTGGCCACTCGACCGATTTCTTCGTTTTTTTGATCGACCGAGTCGAGAAAAGTCTAAGATTTTTTCGGCGTACCATTTTGACCACACCTTTCCAAAGCAGGAAATGCGGCCATGGGGCACTACCTCCTCTCGAAGCAATGGACAAAGGCGATCAAAACACCCTTGCGGCTTTATCGGACTCCTAGTCTTACAGGCCTGGCCGGCCTTTGAATACGTTTTTCGTAACACCTGCAACATTGGTTGTGGCTATGTAAGTTTTGGTGCTTGCCTGGTGCGGGAGTTGGCGCCTTTCTTTGTTCTGTAGTCTTCATGTCTTTGCGGTTCTTTTCTTCTTCTAGAAACTGCACCATGTTTGCCGGCGGTGAGTCTCGCCCACAATTCTTCCATAATCGGTGCTTTGCGAAGTGTAACTTGCCAAATCTGGCAACCTGAGCCAAGCCGACTCCTGTGCTCTCGCTCCCCAAATCTGTGCTATCAAGAAGCCTGGGACAGAGACTCTTGATATCATTGCTGGGTACCAAACATTAATGTCCGTGTTCAGTGGGAAGCGCAGTGGGAAGCAGCTACTCCGGTGTTGCACCTCACGGCTTGCCTGCCGCTTGCCAGCTCCTGGTAGCGATTGCGGCCATTGGGATGAGAGGCTTTTGGACAATGAGCTCATGACGCCCTTTGTGAGCAGTGCTGCCTCATTGCCACTGAGCATCATCACAGCTGGACACGAAAACGCTAAACGTGACCCAAGCTGGCTAGTAACTTCTGCAAAGAGACAACGCCTTAAGTCAAACAATTGCATTTCCGGATGCTGCTGCTGTGAGATAAACTTCCGGGAAAACATCATGTGATGCCAGTGATTCCGGTTGTGATCACTCACATCACCAGCATGCTAGTAGATATTATAGCTGAAAAAGAGCTTGTTTACTAGGAGCAAGGATGCTACTAGTAGCTCCTGGCATTACTACTAGTAGCAAGAAGCTACTAGTAACAAAGGGCATCGCTACTAGAAGCAAGGACGCTTTTGCAACATGTGCAGGAGGCCTGGAAGACCTTGGTTACACGATCGACTACAGGAAGTGTGACATTTGGCCAGATGCGAACACGGATTCGTCCTTGTACACCTTCTACCCCAAACGCCTGGAAAACCGCAAGAGCAGCTTTGCTGAAGCGAAGAGACTCGGTGGAAATGGGCGTTGGTCACACCGAAGGCAACTGCGAGGCCCTCAACGGTATACCTTTGACTTTTTTTGGAACTCCTTATTGTTGTTATTCCCCCAGAACTCGCCAGAGCGGGTTCTTACTTCAACTGGAAGAAGTGCCTATGCGCAGCCTGGGTGCCGGTGCCGCAGGGTGCCGCACAAGCTAGTAGGTCGATATATGTATATCAATGTACTGCTGGATGTCCAGTGTGTGTTTTTGAAAGACCGGGAGGGGGAAGGGTAGGCTGACGAAGTCGCCAGTAAGGAACGAAGCTACTTCACACTGGGAAAAACTCAGGCTTCCTTGAAGAACCTCTCGTTCTTTCGTTCTTAGCGAACGTAGAAACTTCACTTCCCTACCGCGCCGCATTCGTGTTGGGTGTGGGCGCGAGACGTTCAAAGGAATGTGGCGAGAGATTGGTTCATGAAGCCGCTGGACGTGAAGATCATCTACAATGAGAAGGTGATCACCACGATCCCCGGTGATCGAGACCTCAAAGGAATCTTGAAAGCCAAGAAGGACAGGTTATGAAAGGAATCGACACATGTCGATATGAAACTGCCACACGGTGGTTATGCACCCAGTAAAGAAATATTGTCTCCTTTCTTCTCTCAGATTCAGTGATTCTCGGAGATCACTCTGACATTACGACCGGAGGTTCCCCCAACAAGTTCACAGGATTCCTGTCAATGTTGAGATCATTTCCACTTTGTTATTTTTGAGGATACTTCATTTGGTGTCTCCAAGTGTTGCGGCGTCAGATAGATGAGGTGTCATTTGGAGAATCCATGCTGGACGGAGGAAGTAGAGTCTTTGGGTGTCAATTCACTGGAACACCGACCCTGAAAGGCAAGGTTTCCCTTCAAAAGTGACCATGAAGAGCATTTGTCGAAGAGGTTTGGTAAACCACTTTCCGGATTAGACAGGCGAAGCATGACTTCATGTAGCACTTCCTACTCTGAAATCCACTTTGCAATCCTTTGCTAGCCGGGTGCATTTTTTGATTTCAACATGCTCTTGCTTCTCTCCAGGAGCTTCAAGAGTTCTTGCAGAAGCTTCACCCAAGGAACAGCACGAGGAATGCCCACGCAGCGTGACACCTGAATCGCGCCGTATGTCATTTGGGCCTTTCGGAATAGGATGGGAAAACCAGGGATGTCAAGGAGACAATATTTCTTGGCCAATGTTTTTCTTGGTTTTCCACCTTCATGCTTGCTGAATCTACTTCATACACTTTTAAGACATGCCAATCAATGCAGTTGTTTACATACTCAATCCACCGGGACACCGTTAGCTTTGAGAGCCGGCAATCTTCGTGGCAAAGTCCCACGCCACAAGAGCGACCTGGGGAGCCGTCGAAGCGAAAGAGCGACGCCGCCCTCCAGGCCGTGAGGTCGCACAGGCACAGCACGGCACAGCGGTCTCTTCGCTACTGCAAGGTAGATCGACGATGTCGCGAGGCCGGGTGTCGACTGCTACGAGGTTTCTGCAGACATGCTTAGGTGGTCCAGAGGGTTTGAAGGATAGACTGTTTCAGTGCTGCCGAGGGTCAATTTTGCGCGGGCGTTTCTTCAGACATTTCGTGGCTCACATGACAGAAGGACAGGCAGACCTTCAGAACATGAGAGTGAAGGCCTGACAGCAAGAGAAGGGGCGCAATGAGAACAGTCAGCGATTTCCCCACCGACCCGACCGATTTGATCTTCTATCGACGCATATCTACACATCAGACAATCTTCTATCGATGTCTCCGGCAGCCTGAGCTCGAGGCCTGGAAGAAGGTTGTCAGCTTTCCACTTTGTTCCACCTAGACCGGAAGAACGACAGTTGGAAGAGATCGGCTTCCGAACGACTCGCAGGGTGATGTTCTCGTCGCACGGGCCACCAGGTCGCAATGGAACCTGTGGCCGTAGAGGTGTCGTGAGATGACTTCAGCTGACTCAGCTTACCGTATGAGTTCGTATGTGTGTTGTTGGACATTTGTTGAGTCAGGAGTTCTGCTTTTCCGCCTGAACATTTGCTCTCCCCCAGAGTAGGTCTAAGGGTGGTGATGCTTATTGCAAATGCATCAAATACGCTAGTTATATAAATAGCGGATGTTGCGGAAGAAGATATTTGCTGGAAGTAGAGCAAAATAGATAAAGCAGGTTTCGTGCAGTTCATTGCCGTGGTCTCTTCCACCAAAAGGCATCCTGAAGGGCAACAAGAAAGTGATAGTGGTCATCGCTAGTAGGTTAGAGGCCATCTCTATTAGGGTGGAGGCCGTCCCTTTTAGGTTCCCTTTGCTGCTAGGTTGGAGGCCATTGCTATTGTTAGGTTGGAGGCTCTTAGGTTCCTTTTGCTATTAGGTTGGAGGCCCATCACGCTATCCGGGCGGAGGCCATCGCTCTTAGGTTCCTTTTACTATTAGGTCGGGGGCCATTGCTATTAGGTTGATGATGTTGATGGCCATACAGTAATATAATTTCACATAAAATGCAGAGGGTGCTGGTCCATTTGCACATACGTGGCTTTCGCCTGCCACACAGGCAGACTCAACACCGGTTTCCGCCTTGCGGGTACCGCCGCTCACCAACCTGTCTCAAGCAGGAGATCTCAGTGACAATCTTCACAGATGTACAGTGGCCTTCTTTTGGGACTCGATATCAGGAAGGGCGCTATGCTCGGTGGAGGCCTACTAGTAACAAGAAGCTACGTTCGTAGGTTGGAAGCTTCCTTGGGAACCCGTGGATCACGTGGATCGCTTTGCGTGCTTCGGGCGCATCCTCAGGTCAGCCGGGGCTCCCGAATCCGTTCGGTGACCCCAACCAACAGTGCCAAGTCCGAGGGCGGCAGGGTCAGCCCAGTGGAGTTATGAGAGTTCACGTGAAGAACGCCATCTGAGCTGAAGAAAGGTCGTTTCTTCGTGAGAGAAAAAGAGATGTCCTCTATAGAAAGATGAAATAGGCAAAGAAAACGACCGGAAGACGAGAACGAGACCAACTCCTGAGGACTGCAGAACGCCCTCATGGGCGTGGAAGAGAGGCTCAGCGCCCAGATCGCACGGGTTCAACAACAGGCGAGGGACGGCCCGGACGGCAGGCTTCGTGCGTTGGAAGACAGCCAAAGGGGCTGGTGGAACGCTGAGTGTCTTGGTACATTGGTACATGGGGAAATCGTCAAACCTGCCAAAGCTTGATATTGAGATCTTGATATGAATGGGTGCCACATGTCAGCGGCCCAGTCATCCTTGCCAAGACAAACTATTGAGATCTTGATACGATATATGTCAAGATATCCTCGTAATATAACAGGACTAGCATAGATATCCTCGTGATATCTATCCTCAATAGGAGGACTAGAGTTCTTAGTCAAGAGATCCTCCTCCCAATCGTCCTTCCCTCTCCGGACTTACCTCTCCTTTGTCGAACTGCCAGGGCGATCGCCTTCGCGAAGTGGCCTTGAGCCGCATGGATGTCTGCGGCACAGTCCATTTCTCCAGTCCATGTGATGAAGCTGAAGAAGCCAGTCGCAATGACTGACACATCAAGAGAGACCGTCAACTACAACGACCACCCAACTACAACGACCGCCACCAAGAGGCCGTCGTACTTCGCCTTCTCACCGTCTCGAGGCCAAGGTTTCTACGGTGGAAGCCTTGCAGCCCAAGTTCGACCGTCGAATGGCGGAGCTCTCGGGCAGTGCCCGGATGGCCCAGCATGAACGTGTGATCTACTTGCGATGCCCTTTGTTCCGTTCGTAGCTTCTTGTTACTAGCGATGGCCTCCAACCTACTAGCGTTACGTGTGAGGATGTGTTTTCAGTGTTCTTTGCAACTGCTTCACAGAGATTCGGTGTCGTTGGGCCTTGTTGGGTGACGCTTTGCACGGTTCGGATCCAAGGTCAAAGGCCTTAGTGATGAGATGCAGTCGCAGCCAGGGGCACCCAGTGATCGTTCTTGCGTCGCTCTCTTCAGGTGTTTCAATGAAGGGGGTTCACATGGCTGCACTCTTTTTTCGTTCACTAGGAAACCATCGTCCCATTCAAAGTGATGTAGCACATCACTATGCAACCCGTGAAGATCGCATTGACACGAAGCTGGTCAGGTTGCGACGCGTGGATCAGATTGACACGAAGCTCTGGGATTGGCGTCACCAGATCGAGGAAGAGCTCCGAGTGCGTTTGGTGGAGGCCGGAACTTGAGCGGTTGAATCTGATGCTGGTCTTATGGACAAGGGACACCAGTCAAGGTATCTTTAAAAATATATATATATATATCACATAAAAATACATGTATCATGATGTACATATGTATTTTAATGCGTCTGTACTTATGTGAATCTTTTATAGCTCGACAGGTGGAGCAGTCCTTGCAGCAGCTGGGCTCGGCACATCGGGTGGCCAAGGCCGCAGCAGAAGACTCCGTCCGGGCGCCCGGACGCGCGGACGCGCTCGCAGGGGGGGAGGCCCCCTTCAGATGTCGCACGTGTTTCTTTAACGCTGTTCGTTTCGTAAACAATGCGGAAAACAGCAACAGACAAACCTGCATTTTTGCACTTTCTTCAGCCTTTGGACTAGCCAGTTAGCCTACATCATCATGCAAATTTATTAGGTGCCGGATGAACGTCGGGTCCCATTTCATGCACTTCCGGCATGGGGACACACGGTTGTGCAAGTAGCGCCTCCCACTCTTGCGGTAATTCCTTAGGCTGTTCCGTTGAGACTTTGTCATGTCAGAAAGCCTTGAACACATTGGAAAGACTCTCATTGCTAAAAGAATCAAACAAGCAAAAAGAAAAACACATGAACCGATTACTCGAAGGGTTTACATCGATGTTTTTCCAAAGTTGCCCGTGAAAGAGCTGTCCAGGCAAAGAAGCTCAGCATGCGGATGCTTAGGCCGCAGAAGATCATCCGGATGCTTAGGGGTGTCATGCAACCAATCAGATGATACAATTCTAACGAATAGAGTCGAAGGCAACTGCAAGGCTGCAAGAGTGAGAAGTACAGCTCCAGGGGAAACATAGTAAATAGATGTAAAAACATACAGACAGTGCATGCAACAGCCCAGAGTATGCGGGAAAATAAAACAGCTCATTTTGCAGGCTCGAAGGTCTGGTTGAGGAGCACCACGCACATGCCGAGGACGGTTGCCGGCCATGGAAGGCCATAGAAGGGACCTTTTTCTTTCGGAATGTGATTTAGTTCTGGAATTTGTGAATGCCTCGTGAACAAGGTCTGGAATTTGTGGTTCTTGGACCTGCCGCAACTGTACAGCCTCATGGTTTATGGGTTGTCGTGCGAGGACACCAATGGTAACTTGGCACAGCTGAATGCTCGCTTGGAAGAGATCGAGGAGTGCGGACAGCCTTGTTTTGTGGTTTGTTTTTTAATATGAAAAACGTTCTTTTGTTTTAAGTCAAATCATATAGTTTTTTTCTAAGCTAGAGTCTTAGAGGCACACAGTAATACGATGGGCTATTCAGGGGGTTTTGCCTTTCGATGCCAGGAGAACCATGGCTTGCATCACGTGCAACATGACGATGCTATCAACGCTCACATGGAACATACGAGAGCCCGGGAGGTCAGAGGATTGTATTTGCACACAGTCTTCCCACCAAGATCGCCCTTTGATCTTTGCTTGTAAATCTGAGAACTTTGGATATTACAGTTCCTGGTCAAGCACCTGGAGCGCTTGCTTTTGCCAGGCAGATTGGCAGGTGCTTCAGTCTGAGCTGGAGCAACGGTGCTTGGAGCAGAGCCTCACCACACAGGCTGGAGTCGTGGCTGGGGCATGGCAAGGGAATGATCGCAATGGCATTGCCGTCAGGGCCTCTCAGTGAAGCTCGAAGCTATGCAGCAGGCGGGAACGGCGGGAACGGCGGGAAGACCCAGTAGATTCCTGCTGGCGATGCCCTTTGTTCCGTTCGTAGCTTCTTGTTCCTAGTAGTAAGGCCAGGAGCCCCTAGTAGCGTCTTTGTTCCGTTCGTAGCGATGCCCTTTGTTCCGTTCGTAGCTTCTAGCTACTAGTAGGGATGCCTTTTCGACCGAAGCGCCCAGACCCAGTCGCGCCGTCGCCTTGGGTCAACGGAGTTCAATCGACCTGAGCTCGTTCAGGAGTCCAGTGACCTTCGAGCTCGTCTTGAGATTCAAGAAGAGAAGGGGCGTTCTCTTCGCACTCTTCAGGCGACACCGACATGTCGGTCACATCACTCCGAACATGATTTAATTACATATCACATATTTTTATGTATCACTTTATGCTGTCACTATATACCTTTGTATCATTGGCACGAACCAAGCGCTTCAGTTCAAGCGCGCTCAGCTGGTCTCTTCAAACGTCGCGCAGGAAGCTAAAGATGAGCAGCTCCGCTCTTTGGTGGACCGCGTGGAACGGGACGCCTGGACGCAGATCAGCTTGTTTGGTGCAGACAGAGTTCTGAGATCCGATGAGGTAGTAACTTACAAGGGCATTACTACTAACTAGTAGCTAGAAGCTACTAGTGTCACGTCGTTTGCAGTCTGTTTGTTGTTGTTTTTTTTTTTTTTTCTGGGCAATTAATTCTCGCAAGTGATTTCAATCCCTTTCACTACGACTTGACACGAGTTGAAGATGTCCAAACGCCAGTTTCAGCTCAAAGACACGGAAAAGAACCGAGGAGAATCTCGAGGGCCGCTTACGGGGCCTGCAGCAGCGCATTCAGGATTTTGAACTTGGAGCGTTTCGCCTTTCCCTTCTTCCTCTTCATTTCATTTTCCTTTCCCTTTTCCCTTTTTAGTCTTTCCTTTATCCTTTTGTTTTGATCAAAACTTGGAGCGTTTTTCCTTTTCCCTTTTTGTTGGCGCGGGGGGATAGGCCGTGAAAGGGTGTCGTTGCGTGTCGCTTGAGTAGGTCCGTAGATCGAAACCGTTCGAAGATAGTTTTGGAATATGCTTTGGACATTCACCATTAGTTGTCGATGTCTTTTACACCAGCTCTTTTCTTCCTTCCTTCCTTCCTTCCTTCCTGCCTGCCTGCCTTGCCTTCCTTGCCTTTCTGAAAGAGAGCATCTTGACAGCTGCTCTGCGATGTTTCAAGCCGACAAGTTCTAATAAGCAAAGGAAATGAGACTCACGTGCGTTGATGAAATTGTCCGATCACCAATCTCACTGGTCCATGTTCCTTCCAAGAGTTCCTCCCAATTTCAGTTGCAAACCTGAAAAAACAGATCTGGAGGCAGCTGTGCACGAGCTGTCAGGAGCTGGAAACTTCCGGAATCACCACAGCTGAGCAGATGCAAATCCTTCAGCACAGCCTGGAGAGGCGAAATGAACACCCAAACCCCTTTCAGACGGACCAGAACGCAAACAGCGCTTAACGCGGCATCTTCGATCGGTATTGGAGAGTTTTTTTACTACTGATACCTACTACTTCATCACCTTGTGAGGCAAGAGCAAGATGTTCAACATTTGAGTCGCTTGCCCAGCCCCAGGCGCTATGTCGATTGAACATGGACGAATAAATTGTTAAAAGTTGGTGGAAGATCTTGGAAGTCAACTGATGTTTGATACAAAGAAACTGAAGTGTCATGAGTTGTTTTATTGACACACCTATCGTGGTCACATGTTCTGCAGCTTCACGCGTGGTGCAAGGTTGCCACAAGTTGAAGAGAAGGAGAAGGAGAGCTCTTTGCTGCAGGCACACATCTATAGGTCCTACAAGTAAGACAAGGAGACAATATGAGACAATTTTGTCATGAGGCTTTTGTGAGCACAAAAGACCGGGTTCAGACTTGAGAGCTGAGAGCTTGATGAGAGCTGTGAGATCTCCACTTGGTTGAACCTGACTGTTTTGAAGGCCTGGGATTTCCTATCAATCCGTTTCCATTTTGCGCAAGGCACCTGTGCTACACTTGCAAAATCGGGTGGAGAAGCTGGAAGCTCATTTGCAGTCCGCCGTCACCGAGCTCAAAGCAGAGCTCCACGAGGCCTTGTTTGGTGCTCAAAGCGATGCTTATTTTGGGATCAAGAAGTCGAGAATCAAGCATGTCAGCAAGTCTTCGAGATTGATCTCTCTCTCTCTCTCTATATAGATATAGATAGATCATACCAAAAATCTCAGGTAACTAGAGAACAGTGTTATCGATAGGATAGGTTTTTCTTGAAAGATCCGTGGCTCAAGCTGCAGGCCTTGGAGTCGGAGCAGGCGACTGGCTTGGGAGGGCTGCAGGCCGTCATGGGTCCAGGTCCGACCTGTAACAAGCAGTGCAGACCTCATGTTTGAAGAGTTAAGCGAGTTTCCACTAGCAAACAGGACTTCTGCGCGTTTCTTGCTTTCAACTTTCCATCAGCTTCTTCTCATTTTCCACCTTCAGCCGAGTCACACGCACACCATTGGGCACCGAAGCAGCCTGCCGTGCGCCCTCACGTCAGTCTTTGACTCCTCACGTGAGCGCTCTGGTGACCCAGCTGAAGGACATCACGCCCAAGGCATCGTCGGTTTTTCGCGAAATCGGACAGTCGAAGCGATCGAAGCGAATGGTTCAAACGTTTTTTTTTTCGGTCTGGTTTTTTTGTCCATCAAATTCTCCTCTTCTACTCTCTTTCATGTTTTTTTCCGTCTGCGCCTCTTCTTCTGTTCTTTTCTCTTTCGTTCTTTGTTCTCTTGGTCTTTCTGGTTTGGTTCTACCTTCCACGCTTCTCCGCTCTCTTTTTTGGTCCTCTGCCTTCTGTTCCCTCCTCGTCCCAATCACCTTCTCTTTCGCCCTCTCACTCTCTTCTGCTTCTTTTTGAAGCATCTTCTTTGCTTTCTCGTCCCCTCCTCTTCTGTAGTCATTTGCATTCATTCATCTGCCTGCGCTCTTTGCACCACACTCCATCCTTGCCTGCCCATGCGCTTTACCAAGCTTCGAGCTAGCCTATGCTGTACAGGCTTGCGCCGTGGATCTGCCAATAGCGCCCCTTGACACCTCCAATGTCCATTTTCACCACTTCAGCATTTCATTACAGGGTGAAACTTGTCTTGAACGTGGCTTTGCAGGTCATCAGCCAACCTAACACGTAGGATGCTCAAACCAAAGCTTTCGCTCACAGCTTTATTTCCACACACCCATCAACTAACTACGCCGACGTTTCATACTTTGTACTCATTCAGGCCGTGGAAAGTACTGACTGCAAATGCCAGGTTTAGACCATCTTGCAATCAGCACTAGTGAGATGACAGCTCAGAAAGACATCGGCCCTGCGCTCCACCTCTCCTATGAAACGAAACAAATTTGCTCCAACCGTCCAGGACCAGCTACCCAACTCAGAGTTGGGCAGCACTTTCAGCTCAAACTCCAGTGCCGCAAACGACTCTTCAGCCCAGAGCGATGGCTCGATGAAAAACGTCCCACCGAAGCCTTCTGGTCACCTTGTGGGTCACAGCCTTCGGTCTTTGGATGTAGTAACAGGTGCCTTACTAGTAGTCACAAGAAGCTATTAGAAACAAGTGCATCTCTACTAGGAGCAAGAAGCTACTAGGGGCTCCTGGCCTTACTACTAGCAACAAGAAGCTACGAACGGAACAAAGGGCATCGCTACTAGGAGCAAGAAGGAACACTCTCGAAGGTTTAGTGCTTGTGGCTTCGCAGGTCATCAGCCACGGACAGGACATCCAAAGGATCCAAAGCAAGGCGAAGAATGAATTTTCTTTGATCCAAAGCAAGTTTTTATTTCAATATGAATCACATTGAATCACTCAGAATTCAGATCTTTGCCTTTTTCTATCAAGTTTCTCTTGAGGGTTTCTTGTTTCGCACTTTGCGGAGGTCCTGGTCCTGGAAGCGCAGGCCAAGGCAGGGACGAATGATTTGGCTGGCCGAGATCAATCCATCGGGATCACCGCAGAACCATCTGAAACGATCCTTGTGAAATGACAAGCCTTTAAAGTGGGAGCCGTAAGAATCCCCTGGCCCCGTCGAAAGCCATGAAATTCATGACTTTTTGGCCCATCACTGGCGGATCGCAGCATGGAGAAAGACGACTTCGGACGGCGCGAAGCGGCGCGAAGCGGGTGGCGCTGCTCCAGGAGAAGCCGATGCTACCCGTGGAGCGCGTTCCCGCGCCCGTGAACCCGACAGAGGCGGCTTGTCGCCTGGCGGCGGAGTTCAGGCATCCCATGGCTACGAGTTCAGACTCCTTTCACACGTTTCGTAGCTCCGTTTTGTGTGAATTTGTATCACTTTTGTGTCTATCGAAGGCCTTTTTAAAGGCAAAATTCTCACTTGTGGGTTAGGTACCTTCTTCGAGACGGTGTTCTTTTTCTCTTTAATTCTTGTCTCATGTTTCCTCCATTCAAAGGCTGCAACTTCCTCTATCTTCAAGACAGCCCACGTGGCCGCACCGTTCCGTTCAACGGCTTCGAGTTGCAGGCGTCTTGACTTCCGGTCGTCGGATTCCGAGTTGCCGCTGGAAGGTTGAGGGCAAGAGGGAACAGGTAGAAGTGGTGGCCTGAGATGAAAGGTTTCCTGTGCGATGTGATGTCGGGACGCCGAACTTCGTTGAACCTTTGAATCTGCCCTTGCTAGTAGCTTCTACGCTTCTAGCTACTCATTCTCTAACTGACTTCGGACATCTCTCAGAAAATCGGGTCTTGCACGGTGAGCCCGTCCTCGGTGTGATGAAAAAGCGTTTCCGCCGGCTCGGTGCTCCAAGGAGGTGGCATTGAACTCGCCACAGGCAGAGACCGGAAGCTTGGACGAGGCACGGCCTCCAAACCTAAGAGAGGCCAGCGAAGAACATGGTGATAGAGATGGCCTCCCTAATTTCATCTAATTTCGACTTTTGATGCCATGTCTTTAGGTTGTGCTAATGACACATGAATTGAGATGATTTTTCACTTTGAAAGTCTGATCACATAAAGTGACAAAAGATGGCAGAGAAGTGGAGCTTTCTTCTACCTCTCACTAGGTAGAGATGGGCTCACCCCAAATGGCCCGTGCTGAATGGCAGCTGCAGAAAGCGCAGAAAGCTGCACAACGTTTGGTAGCCCAAGGGCAAGTGGCAAAGCATTTTTCAAGTGCCAGAAGCTGCAAAGCTGCAAAAATCCCAGCGGAAGCGCTCATAAGATCACAGGGTCATCCAGACATTCCACCCTCTTGTCGTGATCGCGACTGGACTAAGGCCGAGTTGGGGGTGAGGTCTAGGTCTCACCAGCTTCCACTGCTTTGAATCTCCTTTGAATACTTGGATGAAAAGGGTCCCAGCCGTAGTTTAACTTGTGCTTCTGCCTCATTTTCCATCAAGCACGATGATCATCCAAGTGTTTAGGAGCTTGTACGCTTTGATTTCCAGGCCAAAGCAATGTTCCAATATGTCCCAATCTTGTGCCAATGAACTTTGCATCCGTGGTCGCAAAACACACGCGCGGCACATCGACCCTCAGTCGAGGAATCGAGTCTTGGATAGACGTTCGTAGCTTCTTGTTCCTAGTAATGGCCTCCAACCCACTAGCGATGGCCTCCAACCTAGCGTCCTTGTTTAGTAAGGCACCTGTTTCTACTAGCGTGGCACCTGTTACTATACTAGTAAGGCACCTGTTACTCCTAGCGTGGCACTTGTTGCTACTAGCGTTCTAAAAGTGATATAGGCATCATGGAATTCCTGAAATGCGCTCCGAAACAAGGCTCTGGACAACCGCACGATTGGTTTCAAGACATTGCCTGTTTATCCATTTGACCTTTCTGTTTCACACGAAGAGGGTTGGGCTTGTTACCCGGGAGCATCTCCGAACTGCCAGGATACTTCAGAATGGCAGTGCGTGATGCACTTCGAAGGCATCAGGTACCTGAGCAGAGCATTCTTGCATGGAGCTTCTTGTTTTTTGTTTCAACAAAGGAGCAAGAGGTGGACGGACCCCCTGAAAACGACGTCCGAAGGCCCTGTTGCTTTGCCAGCATTGCATTGTTTTTCCACCAGACGGGACCCAAAGATCCTCTGCGTTGTTTTGTGGGCCACCCAAGGGTAGGATTTATCGGCTACTTGCGATGGCCTGCGGCTCGAGGCACCCTTTGTGGGCGAGACCCTCTGAGAATTTTGCTCTGTGCCCTCCAGCACCGCTCACAGGCCGCTAGAACAGGTCAACTTCCAAATCAATGGACAATCACTGAAGGTGGGAAGTCTCTATATTGTTCCTATTGATGCGTTCGCCGTGTATCGAAGCCTCTTGACCTCGCAAATAAGCTACACTTCGTGAAAGATGGTCCACCTGTGATGTTTTTGGAGCGGTGTACCCTGATTTGACCCGAACCAATTCCCCCCGCTCCGGTTTGACAGCGACTGGAGGTCCATCTTGAGCACAACAAAGTGCGTCTAGGCGCGAGTTGCACAGCACGTTTACCAGGTTTCCAGGTTTCCACGCAGGGAACATCGGGAGCGATTCTGCTCGCGGGTGTCATCCTTCCACTTCCGATTCCACAGGACTGGCGAACGCGTGCTTTTCTTATCAATTCCACGGTTTTTTTTTGGGGACAATATCTACGGTGTGTCGCTTCGAATCCAATTTTCCTTCAGACCATGCCAGATCTCTTTGCGCTTGCCAGACCATGAGTGGTGCTGATTCCAAGATTTTGCACACAAGAGATTGCATGCGTGCAAAGAGACACAACGTTTCTTTTGCCAAACCACGTTGGGACGGCAAGTCACGTCTTACCCCAGCTTTTTTTTGGAGCTTTTCGCAGCCGAGCCATTGGCTCCAACCAGTTGGTTTGCTTAGTTCTCTTTGGTAAGATGACAGCAAAAGAAGCTGGAACAACACGCAAGCGAAGGCCAATGCTGTTTTGACCAATCAACTGGCCAAGACAAACTCCGCCTCTCAGAGGAACTTTCAGGATTTGGGCCGCATCGCATAGCTTCACATGGATCGCATGGGACCTCTAAATGCTTTCCGTGAACCTTCGAACCATGGCATTTCTGGACAGCAACATGTTTGGGGGAGCATTGGTGGCAACAGACCTCGCACAGAATCCACATCGGCTAGAAGTTGAGTCTCGTGGCTGGTGGAAAAGCCCAGGGGTATGCCCACTTCCAGACGCATGGATTCCGCATCTGCACGTCATGAACTGTCGCCATGTTCTGCAAATGTCTGCGTTCCGTGTCCATTTGGCCCAGTGCAAACCTGCCGGGCGACCCGACGAGGGGCATCAGCAGCAGCTACTTCGCCAGCACCTTCTTGGACGAGGTCTGGGCGCTGGTCGTTGGGGTTTCATACTTTTGAGCTCCTTCACAAGATCTGTAGACAGAAATTCAATCATATGTTTGTTTGTGGACACTTCTCCAGTCAAAAAAACAGGCAGAGAGGAGCTATGCACTAAGCGAGACTTTCTGCGCAGACTTTCTGCGCGTAGCAGGACTCATGTGGAACTGATTCAGACTAGTAGCTTCTTGTTCCATGGCTCAGAAAAGCCCCAATTGAACTCATCAGCTTTTGATGACCTGCTCTGCTGCGTGAACAGCAGACGGAGTCTAGAGTCGAACAGGTGGTCGCGAGTGGACTTGGTCCCCATGAACCGGTCTACACGGTGGAGAAGGTGATTCGCCGGAAGGGCGAAGCTGTCATTTGTCCTCGTGATGGACGACTGGGGGCAGCCTATGTGGATGTGGTCACAGGAGATCCGATCCTGCCAGATCACGGCCGATTCGCACATTTTTCGACAGAGTCAAACTATTTCTTGTTGCTCTTCATTTGGTCTTTTTTGCGGGAAGGACATGTTTCCACCAAAAGAATCCAAAAGACAACTTTTCCTATTTGTGCTGTTGGACCCACCACAAGTGCCTGATCAATGGCTTCTGGTCTCAGTGAAGGTGTCACAATGCACTGCTTCAATACAAAACGGATGAACATGGCCACGACTGCACTGGTGGTGTGTGTAGCATGCTTGAGCTGCTTGAGCTCCGACTCAGGTCGACGAAGGGTCCGGTTGACGAAGGGTCCGAAACGGTGAAACGGTCCGCCAGACCGCAAACACAATGACCTTCCCGATGCGCAGGTCCGATGTCACCTCTTTTTCTACTGGCAGAAACACACAAATAAATATAGAGATAGACAGACAGACAGACAGACAGACAGACAGACAGACAGACAGACAGA